AAAATCTTTTAAGGACTGAAATTACTCAATTAAAATCTTAGGGATCAAAATTGCATAATTATAATACTTGAGCGATCAAAAACACAATTAAGCAAAGAATATTCTATTCTCAGTTTTGGAACGGGCCGTTCTGAATCCAGAACGGCCCGTTCTGAAATCAGAATGTCTCATTCTGCTTTCAGAACGGCCCGTTCTGATGCACTGGTGGTGTGTTAATTTTTGCATCTGGAACGGCCCGTTTCAGGTGCAAAATTAACACATGAAGAGAGCAACCAGAACGGCCCGTTCTGGTTTTAGAACGGGCCGTTCTGGGTCCAGATGTTTTCAAAAAAATGTCATCCACGTGGCATCCACGTATGCATATCCACGTGCCCAGAAGTTAACTCCGTTTAAATAATTTGGATGGAAGTCCCACATTGAAACCAATTAATTAAAATGGGATTAAATTGAAATTAATTAATTAATTTGGGACCAAATTGAGACCAAAAATAAAAGTGGGACTACATTGAAATAAAAAAATTATAAGGGACCAAAATAAGGTTTTAGCCTATAATCTTCTAGGATTACTGACTTTTGTAATTGACTCAATTAGTTGTATAACTAATAAGATAATTTTACTAATAAAATTAGTGATAAATAAATTTTGTGCGAATAAATTTAATAATAAATAATTTTTGTTTGGTTGATTACTACGTTTAAGCAAAGGATTGAAATAAGTATTTTTTTTTTAATTATAGAAACTAAAAAATTAATTTTAATTTTGAGAGATAAAAATAAATTTACTTAATCTTTGATATTTAAAAAACTAGAAATATATTTAAATTTAATATTATTATTAATAAGGATAAGAATGATGTGGAAAAAAAAATTGTTGTGTTCTCTAATCCTTTTCTTCTGACGACGATTGAGGGAGAATGAAAATCGTTTTTGTATATTTTTTATTTTACTCTTTTTATTTTTAGCATTTTTATTCGCAAAAGATCATTGGAATGAGTATTTTTTTTTTCAACACGCACTCTATTAATGATTGATAGCTGAAAAATGTTGTACCAGACCCAGACTTTTTAAATTTTGACCCAAAAAAATATTATTTATAAAATGAAATAAATATTAAAATTAAAACTATAACCTTCACTGTGAAAACCTTTACTTTACTTGATTTATAGCCGCCGACAAATGTTGTACCAGGCCCAAACGTTTCCTCAGTTTAGTTGAAGAATGAAGATAGCCCATTTAGTTTTTTCAAAAGTTACATTTGTGGTTGACAAAAAAAAAAGGTGAAATGGTAGTCTCAACAAAGGAATAAAGTTCTAAGCGATACCCTCTTTTATTTACTTTTTTTCAATCTTCTTTTAAACAGTTTAAGTTAAAAGCTTATATTTATTTTACTTAAAATATAAGTCTTGAATTTGATTTTTTTATCTTTTTATGATTTGGTCATTTTTATTTATCAATATTATTTTTTAATTATTTTTTGTTTGTCAATTTTGAATTTTGAATATATCGCTTTGCTAAAAGAAAAAGTAAAATAAAAATAATTGTATATTCATATATTCGAACAATCTTTAAAAAAATATTTTTTTAATCTTTTTCTCAATACTTGTTTGTTATTTTCCTAGTTGAGTTTGCAATGCTATTTATAATGGTGTTTGCAATTAATTGTAAAATTATATTTAAATTAAACTTGGATAATTAAAAGAACTTATAATAAATTAGTTTTGAGAAAATATCATATATTTGGATAAATTAAAATTAAAAAAGTAAATATATAAAATATTAATAAGATATATTAGTAGAAATTTAAGAATTTCTATTGGGTCAATTTTTATAAAAGTAAAATAATATCTTCAATCATAACTTCATGTCTTTTTTTTCTTTTTTTTTTGCTAAGAGGGGGGGCTTAAAAGCCCAACACAAAAGAAGAATCAGAAAACACCTAGCCTATCAACAGCTAGCAAGGGATGTAAGAAATCATGAGGAGAATTATAAATAATAAACTCCTCTCCTAGTCAGGTTCTGTTTCTTGTTAATTTATCTGCCACTACATTAGCTTCTCTAACAATGTGGGAACAGGAAAAGGCAATGAAGCGTATAGCTAGGTCTTTAATGTCATGGACGAGCTCGTGGCAAGGATGGTCTCTATTAGGGGTGAGCAACGGGCGGGTTTGGTCGGGTTCAGGTGAAAAATGTTCAACCCGTTGTAAATCGACTTTGAAAAAATGTGACCCATATCCGACCGACTGAGCTTTCCCTTTGAGGCGGTTTGGGTTGCAACGGATTCGGATTTGGGCGGGTGGGTACAATCGGGTTTGAGATTTTTTGTGGATCAAGTTATTTTAACGAGGGTGAAGCTTAAAACGGTAAAAAAATATTTTTAAAACAGTGTACAAAAATAGAATGAAGGTAACAATAGATGATGTAAGTAGATTCGTAAATAAAACATTTACAAACTAAAGAAGCAAAAATAAAAGATAACAAAATTCATAGTTGTTACATGCAAAAGAAATCTAAAGTTAGATTACAAAATCTATAAGAAACCACTGTCACACAAGTTGTACTCAAAATGGAGATAGGAAGATGGAAAAGAAAGATAAAGAAAGAAACAAAAAGAAAAATCTAAAAGTAGACTAGTGTATTGAGAAATTGGATGAGGAAGGAGAAGACAAAAGAAATATCTAGGTTATGAGAAAAAGAAAAAAAAAAGTTACAAATTGATGGCTATATTATACTTGAAATAAAGACTTTTGAGTTTGGACCATTGTTGTTTAGTTATACAAAAATAATAAAAATATAAACTTATCTCATTTTCGGTTGGGTTCGATTTTTAGCGGGTTTAAAAATTTAAAACCAAACCCACCCAATATAACCCGTATAAAATCAAAATTTTAACCCGACTTACCCGTAAAACCCGCCCGAACCCACCCAAAAGTAATATTTTTTATCGGGTTTTTCAGGTTCGGTTCGGGTCTCGATTTTATGCTCACCCCTAGTCTCTATCACAACCTTCTTCGATCAATCTAACTGCCTCCACGGAGTCTGTTTCAACTAGCACTTGCCAGCCTAAGTTATGAGCTTGAATCATACGAATCCCTTGAAGTATGGCCCATAATTCAAACTGGATAACCGAGCATTGTCCTAGAGCTCTTGCAAAGGCAATAATGAATTTGCCCTCTGAATCCCGAACAATTCCTTCGCAGTAGCCATGGCCGTTATTGGCTACCGCTCCATCCCCATTAAGCTTAATGTACCCTGCTGGGGGGCACCTCCAGACTCCATCAGAGTGGTCGGCTGGGTGATCAATCCTTGTGACTAAACATGGTGAGCCTGAAGTAATCGATGAAACTCTAGCTCTTATCTCCGAAGCCATTTGGTCAGCTGAGATAGAAGAATTCTGGAAGATGAATTTGTTTCGACGATGCCAAATAGAGTCGAGGGTTACCGCAAACGTGGTCGACCAATCTACAGCTCCTAGACGTCTCTTTAACAAGTTAACCATAATCCAGTTCTAAATGCTTCTGATTGTTGAGTTGCCTGTTGTGCTTCCTCCAGGAATTTTGTTCCAAACTTCTCTTGCAAAAGGACAATCTCGCAACACATGGATACTATCTTCTACCCCCTGTAAACAAATAGGGCATGTAGGGTCTGGTCCTAAGTTCCGTTCAAATCGGGCTAGGTTATTTAAAAGGATGTCGTGCACCACCCGCCAAAGAAAAGTGCGAATCCTCTCCAGGCCAGTCCATTTCCACACAGCTCTGAAAATCGGGGGTCTAACGTTCCCGACACACGTAAAAGTTACTTCATAGGCCGACTTAATTGTAAACTCACCATCAGATGTAGGGCCCCATATTATTTCGTCAGGTTCATCCTCGTTCCCAATGTGTTGGTCCCTAATTGTTTCTAAAGTCGTAACTGGAAGAAAGGCATGAAGGTGCTCGATGTTCCAAGCCCCTTGGGACGTTCTGTAGCTCCTAACAGTTCTCATGAGTTCTGTAAGGGGTACAAAGGTTAAGGCTTTTTGAATAATCGAGGTGTGAGACAGTAGCCACGCATCATACCAAAATCTAGTGGATTGACCATTCTTCACTCGCCAGCAGATATGAGGTGTTACAAAGTTCCAAGTAGCACATATCCCCTTCCACAAATTTGACATTTTGTTTTTCTTTCCCACCTGGGGTATGGCTCCTTGGGGGCACTTATATTTAGATCTTACCACTTGAACCCAGAGTTTGTGAGGTTCTGTTATCAAGCTCCAGCAGTTTTTCATCATGAAGGATGTGTTAACATTATGTATAGACCGCAATCCCAACCCACCATATTCCTTAGCCATGTAAACCTTATTCCAGCCAATTGCATGGAATCTTCTGTTATTTCTACTTCCTCCCCATAGAAAGTCTCGGGATATACGATCTATCTCATCACACGTCCTCCGTGGAAGGTAGACAGATTGCATGGTATAAGAAGGAATGGCTGAAAGCACCGTTTTACACAACGTGAGTCGTCCTGCAAACGAGAGAGCAGAGGTTTTCCAACCACTTAATCTTCTACTTACACGCTCTATCAAGCCTTGGTAGTCACGGTGGCATACTCTTGAATGATTGGCAGGTATACCTAAGAATTTCCCAAGGTTGTCTGTGCGCTGGTAGCCAAAAGCCGAGCTGATCTCTTCCCGAATAGAGTGATTCACATTTTTTGAAAAATAGATTTTGGTTTTTTCCAGACTTGCCTTTTGACCAGAACTGACACAAAAGAGGTCCAAACATGTTTTTATGATCTCGACTTGGTTTATGGATGCTTCCGCAAATAAGACTAGGTCGTCAGCAAAGGCCAGATGTGACAAAGGCGGTCCATCTCTAGATAATTTAATTGGTTTCCATTGATTTGAATTAGCTGCTGCTGAGATAAGTTGGAATAAACGTTCCATACATAAAACGAAGAGGTACGGAGAAATTGGGTCACCTTGGCGAATTTCACGAGAAGGAGTAAACTCCTCAAGAGCTTCTCCATTCCAAACCATGCGCAATCTAGGAGATGATATGGAGGCCCATATAAGGTTCACAAAGGTTTGGGGAAGACCTATATCCTGCAGTGTGTCTTTTACGAAATTCCACTTTAGTCTGTCATAAGCTTTCTCAAGATCAATTTTAATAGCCATCCACCCTTTGTTTCCCAACTTGTATCCCATGGAGTGAATAACTTCTTGGAAGATGATTATGTTATCTTTGTTATGCCGGTGAGGAATAAAGCTGCACTGGTTAGGGTGAACTAATTTTCCGATCACTTGTCTTAATCTTTGAGCAAGGACTTTGGTCAAAATCTTGTAGGAAACATTACAAAGACCTATAGGTCGCATTTGTTTTAAGTGAGTTACTGCATCTTCTTTAGGAATTACAACAATTAAAGTTTCGTTGATATCTTCCACCTTCTTAGGATATTTTTCGATTTCATGAATAAGTTGGAAAACAGCAGTGCCCACAGTGTTCCACTGATTCTGATAAAATATTGCCTGTAATCCATCTGGGCCAGGAGCTTTAAGGCCTCCCATGCGTTTGACTGCAGTGAGTATCTCATCGTCTCTAATAGGAGCACCTAGAAAACTTATCTCGTCATGCCTTAGTTGAGGGAATGCACTTGATAGGCAGAAGGGTTCAACTTCTCCTGTATCAGTGAATAAATTTCTGTAATAGCTCGTAACTAAACTTTCCAGCTCTTCCTATTCTGTAACCCACTCATCATTATCATTCTTGAGCTTCAAAATCCTGTTTTTCCTCCTTCGTACTATTGTTGCTCCATGAAAATAGCGCGTGTTTTTATCCCCCAGCTTTAACCACTTGCAGCGTGATTTCTGAAACCAAAGAATTTCCTCCCGTTTAAGGACAAGATCCAATTCTGCCCATAACTCAACTTGTAGCTTTTCCAAAAAATTACGGGTATACCCGATACCCGACGGGGACGGGGATGGGGATGAAAATCTATACCCGATACCCGACGGGTATGGGGACGGGGATGAGGATGAGGATGAGTTTAACTTGCGGGGACGGGGACGGGTATCATGAAACCCGTACCCGCCCCGCCCCGTTGCCATCCCTAGCAGCACCAATAAAACTTATCTCGTCATGCCTTAGTTGAGGGAATGCATTTGATAGGCAGAAGGGTTCAACTTCTCCTATATCAGTGAATAAATTTTTGTAATAGCTCGTAACTAAACTTTCCAGCTCTTCCTTTTCTGTAACCCACTCATCATTATCATTCTTGAGCTTCAAAATCCTGTTTTTCCTCCTCCGTACTATTGTTGCTCCATGAAAATAGCGCGTGTTTTTATCCCCCAACTTTAACCACTTGCAGCGTGATTTCTGAAACCAAAGACTTTCCTCCCGCTTAAGGACAAGAACCAATTCTTCCCATAACTCAACTTGTAGCTTTTCCAAAAAGTTGTTGGGGCCACGTAGAAGCTCACGAGTGATCCCTTGCAGTCGTCCAAGTAGTCTCCTCTTAAGATAGAAAATATTCCCGAACTTAGTTTTATTCCACTCTATTAAGGACTGCTTCGTATGATTAACTCGTTGATTCCAAGCTTGGTGGACATTCCATTCTCGTCGCATGATATAAGAAAATCCATCATGGGTAAGCCATGCAGCTTCAAAGCAAAAGGGTCTTCTAGTGGGACGTTCAGACCTATTGGGATGCAGCTTCAGCAAAATGGGGGAATGATCTGATTTCAACAGATTTAGATGAGAGAGAGTTGCCTCAGGGAATAAAAGGCGCCAATCATAGGACGCCAAAGCTCTATCAAGTCGTTCAAATAGTCTACCTCGACGCCATGTGAAAGGAGCACCAATAAATCCCAAGTCTACCAGATTGCAATGGTTGACCCAGTCGCGAAATGCATTATCTCCTCGTATGCAAGAAGTACCAACTCCCCCTACTCTTTCATGAGAATAAAGAACAACATTAAAATCCCCCATAACCATCCAAGGGCCTTTCGTCTGGTCTGCAATGCCACATAAGTCTCTCCAAAGCTGCACCCGACCCTGAGGGTGAGGGCTTGCGTAGACCATAGTGCAAAACCAAGTTGAATGCTTGGCTTGGATCTGGAGATGAATAAAATGATTGGATTGCTTTAAAACTTCAACCTGCCATCTCCTTGAATCCCACAAGCACCATAATCCCCCTGCATGTCCCTGTACTTGTTTCATACAGCATTTATCAAGATTAATTCTACGTACTACCTTTAGTGCATTATCACCACTAATATGCGTTTCCATAAGGCAAAGTAGCCCAATATTGTATTCTCTAATGATGTCGTTCATTAAAGTTGAGAAACCACGACTTCCAGCTCCCCTACAATTCCAGCTTAAACAATTCATGAGGACATGTTGGGGTTGTTTGGATTTGAAATCCCTTTCGCCTCGTCACAATCCTTCGCACTTAAGCCAGAGGCGCTAGGAGTATTAATCTTGTTGCTATACGACAAGTCGAGATGCAATCTCATTGCATTCGCAAAGGCTTGAGTTTCGGCATCTGGTAAAACCACCTGGGATAAGGTATTTTCCATGAAACGATTAGAGTTTGACATAGTCTCTATGTTCCGTAGACCCTCAAGAATTTTTCTGGAATTTACTTGCTGATCCATGGCTTTGACAAAGGGTCTAGCAGTGTTTAAGTTTGTGACTGCTGGACTGGGATTCAACGTTAATATTTTAGTCTTATGGTTTTCCTCAGCTAGTCGATTCTTTTCTAGCTTACTCTGCCCTATTTTTAATTTCGTTTGCCCTCCATTAGAATGGCTACCATGGCCTGGTGCAGGTTGAGGATTTTTCCCCGCCTTGGGGTTTCGAATTCTAGTTATTTGTCTCGTGGCCGGGGCGTTAGAATTGTACTCATCCACATGCATGGGTTGCATGGGAGTTTCTACGTGAATAGTCTCTGGAGAGAGGAAAACCTCATCTTGCTGAGGTGGCATCATCAAAGTATTATGGGGTTGGTTATTAACCGCACCTGGGTTGGTCCTTGAGTCCCGTGATTGGATAAAAGCATTTTTAATTTTTGAATTGTGGTAATGCTTACCCGATTTCTTCCCACGTTTTACTATCATCCAAGGTCCATAAGATGCCTCAGAATCTGGAAAAGGCGTATTCTCCTCCGTGATTTTTGCATCATCCACAACTCGTGAGTGTTCCTCCCTGACCTTTGCGGCTAGTGATGATTCGTTCTGTTCGCTAATGTCCACTTCCATAGCACTCAGAAATTGCTTTTTATTATCAGTAGAGTGAATTGAAACCTTGTCCACTGGAGCGATACATTGGTCTTGTTTATGCCCGTATTTTCCACATTTGAAACATATCGCATGTAACCCTTCATATTCTAGTTTGATGATGTGGCCCATGACGTTGATCATGGAGACAAGCTTTCTACTTAAGTTGATCTCCACACAGATCCTTGCGAATTTTCCTCTGGAATGAAGAGAGGTTAATTTGTCTATTTTTAACATTGACCCAG